GACAGCTGATGAGTTGTTGCTTGTTAATGATGTGGCTTGCCGGCCCGCTCCTTAACAACCAACTAAACTGCGAAAGAGCAACAAAACATCAGCACACAAAGGGGGAAAAACATAAAAAAATGCTTATATTAAGCATTTTTCATACAGAGTTTTTCACCTGCTGATGTGCATGAAGCCTAAAAGTTGTATTTACGTTGACAAATAAATTGTCTTCAACAATCATAAAGGAGAAAGAGGTTTTCAAATAGGCCTCATAAGCTTCAGCTTTAAAGCCCAACTCCAGTTTGCATGCTCCACCTGAAAATTGTCCATCCAGCCCAATTATGTTCACCACTAGCAATTGTATATTTTATAGCACATGATGACATCAAAGCCATTACAGCCTACAGCTGCCAGAATTGGGAGCAGCTGTGCATGGTGACGAATCGGCTTCTATCTTTCATTTTCAAAGCTTAACTACTTCCCGTCCAGCGATGTACCAGTACGTCGTTGGACTTCCAGTGTTGATAATGGAGTGATGCCTGCCGCTGCAGGCATCACCCCAGTACTGCTTTTTAGAACTGGCGGTCGGCTCTCTTGTAATAGCAATGGAAGTGGCTTTCCAGCTGCTAGATTTCTATTACAAGCAGCGGGAGGGGTCTCCCCTCTCCCACCACCTTCTGCCACTCTCTAGGGCTCTCCCATCCCTCAAGGAGTCCCGAGACCCCGGGATGGCGGCTTTGAACGGCTTTCTATTATAGTTAACCGAAAGCGATGACCTGACATTACCTGACCTGACATCATTTCCACAAACTTGGCAAACAGTGCCATTTTTAAAAAATAAAAGCATTCAGAAACACCGATCTTGGTGTTTTTGAATGCTTTTAAGTACAGAGGAGGGATATGGGGTCTTATAGACCCCAGATGTCTCCCTAAAGAGTAGCCTATAGCTGTCACAAGGATGTTTACATTCCTTGTGACAGCAATAACAGTGATCAAAAAAAGAAGGAAACAGCGTAAAAATAAAAATGAATAAAATTAATAATGAAAAACAGTTTTTTACGTGCCCCCATCTTTCCCGTGCTGAAGCTCTAAGGTGAATTCTTGCATCAGATCTGCAAGCATGCAAACAGCTATCGACCCACACATGTGAGGTATCACTGCGAACGTCAGATCATGGGCAGTAATTCTAGCACCCGACCACCTCTGTGGTAACCTGTAATCTAAAGTGGTAACCTCTAAAGCTTTTAAAACATGCACAATTTTAAACCATGACATGTTTGGTATCTATTTACTTGGTGTAACATCATCTTTTATATTGTAAAAAAATGGGTTATGTATTGTGTTTTTTTGCAATAAAATTTTAAAAAGTGTGTTTTTTCCCCTAAAATTGCATTCATTCTCTAGGGCCTCTGGTTTAAAAAAAAATATTTAATGTTTGGGGGTTCTAAGTGGTTTTCTAGCAAAAAAAAAAAAAAGATTGTTAGATGTGAACAAAAAGTGCCAGAAATGGCCCGGACTAGAGGTAGTTAAAGTAGTTGTATACCTCAGACATGAAATATGAACACAGCATATTTCTCTATAGTATTAACTTAATCCAGAGCAATGCTCCAACTTAAAAAAATCAATTGTTCTCTATGGTGCCTGTTCACACCTGACTGCGCGAACAGGCACCATAGGGAACAAATGATTTTTTAAGTTTGAGCATTTTTGGAGCTTCAAGCTACAAATCGATCAAGTGTGAATGCAGCCTTATACGTAGTAATTTTCCTTTGCTGCCTCATTCCTCTGCTATCTGCATGAGTCACTTCTAACAAGTTTTCCTGACACCAAGAGAAAAACAGTGACAGGGGAGTGCACAGCTTGTGATTGACAGCCTCTGTTCCTGTGTGCTGTGTGAAGGGACGTATGTCTCTTTCCTCCAATCAGTTCTCAGAGCTCTCCTCAATGAGTGTAACTTCAGCTCCCGCACACTGCTTTTCATAGTTGAGAGATCTTGTGTAAATTCTGTACTTTCAATGGATGTAGGGGACAGACTGCTGCAGATAGACAGGTACAACTTATGAGGGAGGATTTGCTTAATCTCTGTGTATCACCCAAGGTTAGTCACTACTAGGTATATGTGAGAGTTTACAACCACTTTAACTGAACAAGCTGAAGCTAGATGCTGATTGGTTACTAAGCACAGCTTCTCCAGATTATGGCTGCTCCAGTTTTGCCAAATTCCCCGGTGTGAATGAAAAGTGCCATGCTGACACCAACTCTAGGAATGGGACCATGACACTCTGTATTCACAGTATGTGTTCAGTCTTACAGATTGAGTGACACTAGATGACACTCGGGACTGAAAAGATCTTTAGTTGGGAAGAATTACTGCAGTGATTGATGGTATTGACTCAAAGCATAGGGAAAGACTCAGAGCAAAAGCCAGCATATTTTATCAGTGCTAATGTTTGGTCTTATAATGCTGTGATCCATGATAAGAATTCTTCTCTGCATGACGTCCACAACATTTAGTGCTTCCATACCCTAATCTTCATACCACTCCATCATAAATAAATGCTGAGATTCAAGACGTGATAACATACACCTACATTGCTGTATCCACTTTCCTCTGCGTATCCATTGGTTGTAGTGTATGCTTGATGTACTGTTCCACTCCACATGGCCTTGTATTACAGTTTACAATAAGTCCCGTCTGCGAAACGGGAGACAACATGTCATGTCTATGTTCTGACTGTGATCTATAGCTGTATATGCTCTATATGCTATCTTGTCTATTCTCATATTAATAAAGTATTTTTGTAATAACAGAATTCTTCTCTGAAGCCCCACATGCAAAGGGCAAAAGCATGGAACACAGACAAGGTGAATGTAAGGGAATTCCTGTACGGCAACTGGCTAATAGAAATGAGCATAGGCTTGCGCATGCGTGCAGAAATGTGCGCACACGAGTGCACACACGCGGGCGGGAGAGTGCCCACTGTTTCTGGTGCCAGACAGACTATTTAAAGGAAGCTCTTACTCTCTGTCAGTGCTGACTGGTCTTCAGCTAACTTCCTGTTTCCTGTTGTATCCTGTGTGTATCAGTTACCGACCCGGATTGCCACCGACCTGCTCTTGGATCCTGTTTATGCTTCTGCTCATCGGTTTCTGATCCTGGCTTCCTCCTGACCACGTCCCTGTCTAATGTTTCGGTACCTCATTGCCTGCTCGTTGCTGACCCTGGCTATTACTCTGACTACGCTTCTGGTTCCAGTTTTGGCTCTACAGTCTTGCCGAGTACCTGTCCTGGCTGTCATTGCATCAGCTCCAGTTGTCGATGTGTGCTCCAGCCTCACGCTTATCAGAAGTTCTGGCAAACCACGTACCCAGATCTTGCCGTTCCAGTCCAGTGCTTCCTTCACTTCAGCTTGCCGTTCCGGCATCTCCTCTGTTCCTTACTGGATGCCCTATCTAATTTACCGAGGTTACATCACCAGCTGCAAATTCCACAATCAATATCCACAGGCACTCGTGTTCCTCCTGTCCCTCGGCACCATCTGTTTCACCTTTAGTGGGGCCTGGGTTGGAGATACAAGAGAGGCTGACCTCGTCAATTCAGACTTCTATCAGGTACGTGACAGTGAATGCCATCTAAGCATCAATGCTGAGGGGGGAGGTTGAGTATTTTACTGTCAGCTGACTGGAGTAATGGTACTGCAGGAACAATTAAAAGGCAAAATTTTTAAACCTACTACAGGACAATTTTTTGGTACAGTTAATGAGGCTCCAGCTAGGAATGATGCTCTGCTGGACCTGGTAATCTCAAACCATACAGAGCTTATTACGAATATCCATATAAAAGAACATCTGGGTAGCAGTGACCATAAAATGATTTCATTTATTGTTAGCTGTAAACAGCAAGCACATACAGGAAAAATAAAAATGCTCAATTTAAGAGAGCTAATTTTCCAAGGCTGGGAGCTGTTCTCCAAGATTTAGACTGGAAGAGAATATTTTCATCAAGCACAACACAGAAATGGGCGTTCTTCAAAAAGACTGTATGTGAACACACTACAAAATATATTCCCATGGGTAACAAGTTTAAAAGGCTAAAAATCAAACCTATGTGGCTTATGGCCAAAGTTAAAAAAAGCTATAGATAATAAGAAAAGAGCTTTTATTAAATATAAACATGAAGGAATGCTATCATCGTTTAAACATTACAAAGAATATAACAGAATATGCAAAATGAAAATAAAGGCCTCAAAAATTGAAAACAAACGACAGATTGCAAAAGATAGCAGGACCAACCCCAAAAAATTCTTCAAATATATTAATAGTAAAAAGGTCCAGTCCGAGCATGTAGGCCCTTTACAAAATAATCTAGAGTGGGTGACTGGGGACAAAGAGAAGGCAAATTTATTTAATACCTTCTTCATCTCTGTGTATACAAAGGGGCATGGGGGAGCTCTTGTCCATAATGGGCATGGTATTGACACAGCTCCAGATGATCCACATTGGCTCACAATTGATATGATCCAAAAATAGTTAAACAGAATAAAGGTGAATAAAGCAGCTGGACCAGATGGCATACACCCACGGGTCCTTAACCACAAGCCTACAGGGCACTTATACCTCCTTAATGCCCAGGCCAATTTCCAGCTTTCAGCGCTGTCGCACTTTGAATGACAATTGCGTGGTCATGCAACACTGTACCCATATGAAATTTTTTCCTTTTTTTGTGACAGATAGAGCTTTATTTTGGTGGTATTTAATCACCTATGGGTTTTTTTTTTTTTTCTTAAACAAACCAAAAACCGCTGAAAATTTTTAAAAAAAGTTTTTTCTTAGTTTTTGTTATAACATTTTGTAAATAAGTGATTTTTCTGCTTCACTGATGTGCGCTAATGAGGCTGCAGTGATGGGCACTGATAGGCTGCACTGATGGGCACTGATGAGGAGGCACTGGTAGGTGGCACTGATGGGCATTGACAGGCATCACTGATGGGCACTGAAAGGCAGCACTGATAAATGGCACTGATATATGGCACTGATTGGCGGCACTGACAGGCACTGATAGGCGGCACTGATGCGCACTGATAGGTGGCACTGACTGGCACTGATAGGCTGCACTGATAGGTGGCACTGATTGGCATTGATAGGTGGCACTGACTGGCTGTGATGGGTGACACTGAAAGGCAGCTCAGATGGGCACTGATATGTGTCATTGATGTGCACTGGTAGGCACTGATATGTGGCATTGATGTGGCACTGATGGGCACTGGCACGAGGCACTGATGAGCACTGACACAAGGCACTGATGGACACTGACAGGTGGCACTGCTGGGGCTACACTGATCATCAGGGCACACTGATCATCAGTGCCCTGATCATCAGTGTACATGTCCTCTCCACGGAAAGCCGATTACCGGCTCTCCTTTCCTCACGAGCTGTCAGCGTGACAGCTCGAGAGGAGAGAAATGCCGATAACCGGCATTTCCCTGTTTACATGTGATCAGCTGTGATTGGACACAGCTGATCACATGACCGAGCCGACATCTTCGGCTCTTTCTGTGATCAGTGATCTGCTGTGTCCGAGGGACACAGCGTCCTGCCGATCGCCGTGCTGCGCGCTCCCTGAGCTGTGTATGCGCGGTGAGAATGGGAGGACGTCATATGACGTCCTCCCAGAACGAGAGAACCACCTTGCGCCCGTCATATAACTATATGGCGGGCAGGAGGTGGTTAAAGAATTGAGCTCTGTCATTATAAAGCCATTGCTTCTAATTTTTTAGGGACTCTTTAATGACTGACATAGTACCACTGGATTGGTGTAAGGCCAATGCGGTGCCAATATTTAAAAAGGGGTCAAAATCTTTAGCAAGTAATTATAGACCTGTTAGTTTAACTTCTATAGTTGGGAAGATACTGGAGAGTTTAACCACTTCCCGTCGAGCCCATATATATAAACGGCCGGACGGGAGCAGTGCAGAGGTGGGTGGCCGTTTATAAATGGCCTCCCCGCTCCCTGCTTGTGCAAGCTCCCTGGGAGTGCACAGCACCATGATCCAGTGGAACACCGATCGTTGTACGGGACCTCTGTGTGTGAGGTCCCGATCATGTGATCACTGACTGGCCAATCAGTGATCACATTATTATTATTATTATTATACAGTATTTATAAATGAAGAGTAGTAAGCAAGAAAGTCGCTTCTGACATCATTGCTTACTACGTGTGAAATCTGTGAATGATCACAGAAGTCACATGGTACAAGGCTATTTACAACAGCCTTGTACCATGTGACAAGCTGTGACCAATCACAGCTCACACAGTATTTCTCAATGGCTGCAAGAATGCAGCCAGAGAGGACAAATTATTGCTTTTACAGCCTTTATGGGTGTAAAAGCAATCAGTGAAAAAAAAAAATCATCACCCCCCATCACTATGGAGACACTGTACTGCTAGGGTGACAGTATGTAAAAAAAACGAAAACATAATAATATAAAAAAAAATAAAAATGTAAAACAAATTTTTGAAAAATTATAATTTTTGGTTATAAACTAATTTGGGTTATTTATTTTTACTAAAAAGATAACTTGAATACATTTTGGCCAATATTTATGAAGAAAGATTATTTATTTGCAAACTTTTATAAGAAAAACACTTTCTTTCAAAATTTTTGGACTTTTTCATTTATATAGCAAAAAAAATAGAAATCCCAGTGGTGAATAAATACCACCAAAATAAAGTTTTATCTGTCCTAAAAAAATGCTAAAAAATTCATATGGGTACAGTTTTGCATGACCGCACAATTGTCATTCAAAGTGTGATAGCACTGAAAGCAGAAAATTGGCCTGGACAGGAAGGGGATAAAAGTGTCCGGACTTGAAGTGGTTAATAAAAGACTACATAGATGAGTTCTTTCTGGAAAAAAATATTTTAAGCAACAAACAGCATGGATTCATTAAAAACAAACCTGATTTCTTTTGAGGAGGTGAGCAAAACCTTGGACAGAGGGGTGGTGGTGGACGTGGTATACTTGGATTTTGCAAAAGCATTTGACACAGTTCCCCATACACGGCTAATGTGTAAGGTAAAGTCTACGGGCTTGAAAAATCTGTATGTAAATGGATGGAAAACTGGATAAAAGATCGTATTCAGAGTAGTGGTTAATGATTCATACTCTGAATGGTCTAGGGTTTTCAGTGGTGTACCCCAAGGTTCAGTGTTGGGACCCTTACTTTTTAATATATTTATAAACGATATAGGGTCTGGGATTGAAAATACCATTTCAGTCTTAGATGACACCAAGCTGTGCAGTGGAATAACGTCCTTACAGGATGTCTCCAATTTACAAGCCGACCTCAATGCACTGTTTAATTGGGCAACTATGTGGCAAATGAGGTTTAATGTTGATAAATGTAAGGTTCTGCACTTGGGGGCTAAGAATATGCATGCATCATACATACTAGGGGAATACAACTGGGGGAATCAATGGTGGAGAAGGATCTGGGAGTTCTGGTAGATCACAAGCTTAATAATGGCATGCAATGCCAAGCTGCGGTTTCTAAAGCGAGCAAAATCCTCTCTTGTATTAAGAGGTATAGATTCCAGAGAGAGAGATATCATATTACCCCTGTACAAATCATTAGTAACACCTCATCTGGAATATGCAGTTCAGTTTTGGGCACCAATTCACAAAAAGAACATTGGGGAACTTGAGAAAGTACAGAGAAGAGCAACTAAACTGATAAGAGGTATGGAGAGAGCTCAGCTATGGGAAAGATTAGAGGAATTGAAATTATTCTCTCTTGAGAAGAGGAGATTAAGGGGGGATATGATCAACATGTATAAATACATCAGTGGTTCATATAGTGAACTCGGTGTAGAGCTATTCACTCTGAGGTCAATACAGAGGACAAGGAGGGCACTCTTTACGTCTGAAGAAAAAGAAATTTAATCTCCAAACACGGAAAGGTTTCTTTGCACTGAGAGCTGTGATAATGTGGAATAGACTCCCTCAAGAGTTGGTTCTGGCCAGCTCAGTGGATTGCTTTAAAAAAGTTGATCCAGGGAATATCCGATTGCCTCTCGGGGGATCAGGAAGGCATTTTTTTCCTTGAAGAATCAAATTGGGTCATGCTTTGCTGGGTTTTTTTGCCTTCCTCTGGATCAACTGTGGGCATAGGATTATAACTTTTTTTTTTCTTTTAATGGTTGAACTGGATGAACTTTTGTCTTTTTTCAGGCCAGACTGACTATGTCACTATGTAATATCTATTTGTTTTCCTCTAGTTTTGGCTAGCAAACACTAAAATGAACAGGGATATATAAAGTAAGTCTGAAATTGTTCACCTTTATGAGCTTTGGAGGCCACTTTCTGGCAATGTGAAGTTACAAACATCTAACAATGATGGACACAAACACCTAGACCCTTGTCAATATCATGGCAATATCAGCAAAGCATGGTTGTGGTTCAGTAGATGTATACACATAGCCAACAAGTGTCCCTCTGTACTGTAACATCAGGAATACAGGTGATAAGTGGCCACCATCTTGGTGCGTACTAAGTATAGGCAACAGAAGAATCAGGACACATGAATGCATAAAGTTACTTTATTTTCAATATACATTTAATTTTTGAAAAATATAAATGCTAAAATATCTTCAATCTTTTGATTCCATAAAAGACACAATAGAAAGCTTCATAAAATTGAAAAATACTATCCTGTCATTATCATTATGCTCATTGTTACAGGTAAAATCACTACAGTCTCTGCTGCTTTCTTCATCTGCTCCATGTTTGATCATATTTCATTACATACAAAAATCATCATGTCTAACAAAAGACATATAGGCCATTTGAAGTATCCATGAGAGTATGAAAGTGCAGATCAACACCCTCCCTCTTTTCCCTCCTTGCTCTCCTGAAATAATACAAATACTACGTTAGCCATATTAATGGCTATAAATTAGAACAGTTGTGTTAACACTATGTCAGCAGTATAGGTCTGGGACAAAAACCTTCATTGATGTTGAAAAACCTGGAAACAAGATTCTCTACAACACAGTATTTTTTACAGTAAAATAACACATTGACATAACCTTCATTATTCCCCTTAAACTGAAAAAACGTGTCAAGTTATATTAAAACAAATATATTGCTGTTTAGATTACCCCTCACCTCCTTTCCCTGTAGTAGCTGGATTGGCGATCCAAAAAGGTCCGCCTGCCAGTTGTCCAGGCAGACTTGATCAGAAGGTACATGCATTCTTATAGACAGGCAGATGTATTTAGACTTGTGTCTGTTTACACCTGCCTACATCCAGGTCTGACCTGTTCAGAAGGGGATCCATCCTCTTCTGTCTAGAGTGAGCACTGTGTCATCCACTGCTCTGCTCTGATCAGCAAGGGATCTGCTCACAGATCCCCTGCTGATCGGAACAGAATCTGCCCCATCTGAGAGGAACCTAAGAAATTAAGAAAGCTGTTAACATTGGCACAGGAATACACAGTAACAATAAGTGGAGAGAGGTTCTAACCCAAATATTTTGTTGCAGTCTTTGTCCCCACTGGTTAGATTTCCCATCATAATCCCCCTAGTAGGAACACAGACAGCATTAAAAACCTAACAGATGTTCTATTCCTTCCCTCATTCCATCCAAAAATTAAAGTAAAGGTTTTGGCTGCAGTTAGGCTTTAAGTAATGGCTCTTGACATGTTTGCTGCCCTATGGAAACTGAACAAGTATTCTGTAGATGACAAAGGTTTATAAATAGCCATAAAAAATATGAACAAATGTCATTGAACACAATAAGTAATTCAAAGGCCAATATAGGCACAAGGGGATAAGATAATATAATTAAAAAGTTAATCAGTTCATGATCCAGCGTTAGTGTCACATTTTTCAGAAACACTGCATTTTTCTGTTATCTACCATAAAAAAGAATAGTTTTCTTTAAAAAGTTTACAGGTTACTACTGCACAGAGATGAAAATTAAGTTTCTTTTGTCAAGTGGGAAGACATTTTCTAAGCTGATAAAGCAGTACTTAATCTTTTTTTTTTTTTTTTTTTAAATTAATGCTGTCAAATAAAAAAAAAACTGTGTGGAAAGGTTTGGATGGGAGCAAACATTCCTCAAATCATGTATCACATCCTAGCTCTAAAAAAAGGCAATAGGATCCTCTATGAGTCTGTACCCCAGAGGGGTACCCCAATGGAGCCCAAAATGACATGGTTGGCGTTATAAGTACCTACTCGCAGTTTGTTACTACAATGGCTCTTTTCATAAAGTGGGGCAAATGGCAATGATCACATGCAAAGTGCAGTAACCCAAAGCAGCCAATTGGATTTGTTTCCTGAAATCAGATCAGTAAAGATTATTATTATTAATTGACTGGTAGCTTTCCTTACTGCATATTGCTTGTGCCTTACCTTTTAAAGGGTTGATTTATAGAGCAGCAATATGGCCTAACCATAGCCACACCATATTGCTGCTTTAAAAAATATTGTGACACATTTATAAAGAACATCTCTGTGC